TTACGTGAAGCAATCAGTTGTCTGAGCCAAACAGATTAACTAAATTATGGTAATCGTAATTAAGGAACCGTGTTGCATAGCAATCAGTTTCGCAATACAGCTGTCCCTACCGTGAAAAATAAAGATGTAGAACTTTCCTTACCCGCAATCACCTATGGACTAACCGAGCAGTGAGTTCTCATGCACATTTCCCAGCGCAAACAAAGGCCATCCAAGAACACTGCTCTCAATCCGAAAGCCTTGAAAAATGTACGGCTACTTCATCCGGCAGCACCTTCCTAAATCCGAGTTCTTCTATAGAATAGCACTTCAAAAAGTTTGGGAACGCAGAATGAAACAGGATTAAAGACTGCTGAAACTTTATACGATAGCCCTCGGGTATCTTTCTGTAATCCGATGGATTCCATTTCATCATTACCGATGCCCACCCGCCGCCCCGGCACTGCCCACTAATATAGCCGTTCCGGACTCCCATGTAGCCCATGGGTTGCGGAGATAGCACTGAAAAAAGCAGTATATCTATCGAGGAACAAAAAAACACACCGGCCTTACCAGCGAAGAAATACGCCGTCACCAACTAATCGTTACAGCAATTTCAGACATCTGCTGCCCAAAACAAAAAGGACTACCGAACTCAAAGAAGCCCCCTGTGAAAGCATTTGACGATTGAAGGGTACCCCAATAGAAGGACTTCAGGACCTAAGGGCATCCCCAATAGTGGGACTTGAGGACCCAAGGGTAGTCCCAACAGAAGAGCTTCAGGATCCAAGGGTATCCCCAATAGCAGAACTCCAGAACCTATGGGTACCTCCCAATAGTAGGACTTCAGGACCTAAGAGCAGGGTTTCCAATAGCAGGTGTACATCCTTTGCCTGTACATTTTGTACATTTTGCGAAACAAAGAAAATCCTTTGTTTGTACACTCTGAGTCATCGTTCCATTGGAAACGCTGCCTAAGAGTACCCCGTAATTGTAATACTTGAGGATCGAAGGATTCCCCCAATAGTAGGACTTCAGGATCTAAGGGTACCCTCCAATAGTAGGACTTGAGGAACCAAGGATACCCCGAAATAATAGGACTTGAGGACCCAAGGCTACGGGTTTAGTGACGAGAGACATATACCTGATTGTTACCCCTATTCGCATGTAACTGTTAACGCAAAGATGACTTTCCACCCATAGTTGGAGGTTCTTCAGAAAAAAAAAGTTATTTGTTATTTTTTTGTTATTTATAACAAATAACAAATAAGTTATTGTTTTTAATAACAATAACAATAAATTCACGCCCCTATCTTCATCACCTTTTCAACACCTTCTCGGCACTTCAGCACCTTTTCAGCACCTCAGCACCTTCTCAGCACTTCAGCACCTGCTCAGCACCTCAGCACCTCAGCACCTGTTCAGCACTTTCCAGTGTGTTTCGGTGCTGGGTGCCAGCACTTACCCCTTGTAAGCCTTACATTTTCTAATTTAAGGCAGAAGGCTAACTAATAATTAATTTTTCATGCGAACATGCGAAATGCGTATCATATAAGGGCGCCATCACTTAAGATTAATGGCACTTTTCATGCGCTGCATGTTCAAAAGTAAAACAGCCAATCGGCACATTAGAATACTTCGGCCTTCGGTTCGGCTTCCGCCTTCGGTTCGGCTTCGGCCTTCGGCTTCGGCTTCGGCTTCGGCCAACTATCATTAACCTAAACAACAAAACGGCAGAAACAGAGAAAAAATCTATTGAATGATTGACATTGTCGTTTATATGTAACGTGAAAACAATTTCTCTTTTCTTCCTTCTTATCACAGTTTATGCTATCGCAATGGCGACTTCAAAATGTTTGATGAAAGAAAAATGTAGTAGGAACGAAAAAATAATATATACTTATACGGTATAGGTAAGATTTCTTTGCATTTGTTCGTTGTGAATGTTTCACGTCGCCTAACAAGACAATTTCACAACAGAGTGAAAAAGCAAATTACCAAATAACTGTTACTTTTTAAAGCTCGTTGGCACCATGGCATCAACTTCTACGATCAGTAACACTAATGCTAAGATTCTTATTGCTGTCTGGCTTGATGCTAATGTTAACATAAATGAAGATAATCGAAATGCACAAATACAACTTCGTTCGTTTATCAATCGTCTAAAGACATTTGAAAGTATTAATGAATGTGAAAAATATATTCGATCAGCATCTCCACAAGAACAACACTTACTAATCGTTAGTGGCCGTTTGGGCAGAGAACTCGTTCCTAACATTCATACACTTCCACACATCACATCAATTTATGTGTACTGTTCAGACAAAAAAGGAAATGAACAATGGGCAAAACATTTTTCGAAGGTAAAGCAAATTAGCTTAACATTGTTTTAATTTACTTTTATAGATCAAGGCTGTCATTACTCGACTGGACGAGCTAGTTTCTCGAATAAAAGCAGATCAAGAAAGTTTATACCCTGTTACTCAAATGAAAGTAACGAGCAATTCTGTATTTAATGCTAAAATGGACGAATCTGATCTTTCAATGGCGTATACGCATTTGTTATCTTTGGTTCTGGTTCAAATGAAACCGAGTGCGACAGATAAAAACGATCTAATTTCTTTATTTAAAGACACTTTCAAAAATAACGAACGTGAATTAAAGATCGTTAACGAATTTCAAAGAGAATATTCCGGCGACAAAGCTGTATTTTGGTACAGTCGCGATTGTTTTTTGTACAGAATGATTACCAAAGCTTTACGAACGCAAGATACTAATACAATCTTCCTTTTTCAATTTTTCATCTGTGATGTTTTTCGACAATTAGCACAATGGCAATACAAGAGTCATATTATAACTTACCGAGCTCAATCCATGCCAGAGGATCATATAAACACTCTCAGAGAATCGGTCAGGAGCGTTATTTCTATGAATTCATTCTTGTCAACCACCCTTCGACGACATACAGCTACCCAGTTTTTGGATACAGGCGGTAAGTCGATTGACCTAGGGCGAGTATTATTTCAAATTGATGCTGACCCCAAAGTGGTGACAACAAAGCCGTTTGCTGATATCTCAAAGTATACCGAATATCCTGATGAAGATGAAGTAATGTTTGCATACGGTTGTTTCTTTCGTGTTATAACAGTTAAGCAAAGTAATGATCAAGTATGGATTGTTCGAATGACGTTATGTGGTGACAACGATCATGATGTACAAAAGTTCTTTGCTGAGATAACGGAAAAGTTTGGATATAATGATGTAGAAGGTGCATTTTTCGCGCTTATTCGGGTGCTGTGCGCAATGAAGAAATTTGATGAAGCCGAAAAATACTGTCATCGTTTGCTTCAACATTTTTCTTCGGATGACTCATCTCTTGGTATCATATATGATGAACTTAGTAGAATAGCCTCGAGTAAAAATGATTATGATTTGAGTGTTCAATGGCATGAGAAATCGATGAAGATCAAAAAGAAATCTGGATCTGGTAGCTTAAGTAAGACCATTGGAGCTTTTAATTCTAACTGTAAGATGGATAAGCGTCCCTTTAACTGACAAGGGAACATTCCTAGGTGTCCATTCGGTTTCGAGTCGAGACTTAGTGCATCTTGTAAGCCTTGATGAATTATACCTACCACAAAAAGAGTTCGTGCTCCTAGTCTGTTTCAGATGACATCGAACGTTTTTATGGTTACGACTGAGTCATCTTATAAGGGAAAAAATCACTATCTCAGCCAATATAAAGCCTATTCTATAACAACTGAGGATAAATTGTTGATGACATTTTACTTACTTTCGTTTGATGTATGGGGCTAAAATTTTTATCACAAATATATCTGATCAGAGTCTTTTATTTTTGAAAGTTTCAAGTCTCTGACTATAACTACTGGTTAAATACATCGGCAAGATTGAAATACATACATTTTCTACTCGATTTTTACCTCCTTTTTTTACGGTGAAGATAATGCAAAAGTCGAGTACAAAAATGTATGTATTTCAATCTTGACGATCAAGGATCAATGGTGGCCAAATCGGAGAGTGTCGGGAGTGGAACATCCTCAATCATCGAAAATTTCTTCTGTTTTTGCTCAACCAAATCAGGAAATTTTCTCGCATCTGTCACCAAAAATAATGCTAGAGCCCCCAAAAAGGCGCAAAATTCGTCTTTCTAGGGAAAAAAATTCGCTACACCATCCAGTATTGGTTGACTCGGGCCATTCCTGTTGCTAATGTATTTGATCAGTAGTTATAGTCAGAGACTTGAAACTTTCAAAAATAAAAGACTCTGATCAGATATATTTGTGATAAAAATTTTAGCCCCATACATCAAAGGAAAGTAAGAAAAATGTCATCAACAATTTATCCTCAGTTGTTATAGAATAGGCTATATATTGGCTGAGATAGTGATTTTTTCCCTTATAAGATGACTCAGTCGTAACCATAAAAACGCTCGATGTCATCTAAAACAGGCTAGGAGCATGAACTCTTTTTGTGGTAGGTATAATTCACCAAGGCTTACAAGATGCACTAAGTCTCGACTCGAAATCGAATGGACACCTAGGAATGTTTTCTTATGAGTAGAAAAAATTTTGAAAATTTCTTTTTGTTAGTTTTTCTCGATCTCAATAACAAGCAAAACCTATATATAGCTGTCTTTTCATTCAAATTTCAGCCTAATTTCTTGTCTAACTACGAGAAAAATCTGTGCGGAACAAAACTGCAAAGTTCATTAACTCGGTTCAGATTTTGAAGTAGGATTCGAAATTATTATAGATTTTCTCACCCTGATCTTAATAAACCTTATGTGTCCTTTCACCAATAGTCGAGACGACTTTCCGAGTATTCCATGTATGATTCAGAGACAATTTAATCAGTAGTCAATCATTAGTAAAAGTCTTATTTATAACTGTTTCTTTTAAATCAGCACCATGAAAATACTTTTTTATTTCATAGATGATTATGAATCATCGGACGTTCGCGGTATCAACGACTCTACCTCCATAGGTGTAGTCCAAAAATCTATGGCTTCTGGCGACCATCCATCCGAAAACAATTTTCGATTTATCGATGTGGCAGCTGAGAAACATGATATACTTCTTCCCATCGAAGGACATGAAAAAATGCCTCTTGTCACTCTCGAAGAAGCTGTAGTACCATTGATCTCAATCCTTCCCGATATTCGTCGCAAGGTACATACAGCAAAACTAAAGTGTAAGAATCCTGCCGATGGATTAACATCTGATCAATCAGCTGCCATTATGCTTTATACCATGGAATGGGAACCACAAAATGAATGTCTATATTTTGTCTTGAACGAACACCTACGAGCAGCTGATCGAAAGAAACTCAAACCATGGTTTCTTTACCTGAAACTTATCTTAACAGGGCTTTCTCGTCTACCATCAGTTCAAAGAACTGTCTATCGTGGTGTCAAACTCGATTTAAGTGCACAACATCATGAAGGTGAACAATTCTTTTGGTGGGGCTTTTCATCATGTACAAAAAAAATGAATGTTCTAAAGTCCGATCAATTTCTTGGAAAAACTGGTAAACGTACTTTATTTCTTATTGAATGTGTAAATGGGAAATATATCCGACGTCATTCATATTATCAAAAGGAAGATGAAATATTACTTTTACCTGCTACTTATCTTGAAGTTGTGACATGTTTTGAAATGGCATCTGATCTTCATGCAATTCAACTGAAAGAAATCAAGCCTGACTTTCCATATTTAGAACCCGTAGTTTGATAAATATTTTGTGATGATGATTATTATATAGACAAGAAACTTTTTAAAATCTTTTTCTAATTTCAGATGCAGATTAGTAAAAACTAGAGAATAACAGTTACATTATCTTAAACCCCCCACTCAAAAAAAGTCAATTCTCGTCAAAAATTTCGAAATTGAGATGAATGCATGGGAAGATAGCCTGTCTTTTGCTCTTTCAGAAACACTATTGTTTTTTTCTTCGGCACCTCATCTTTGGCCAACATTTTCGATGATTTTCGTTAACCCTACTTGAAAAATATGCTTATTTTTAAAAAAAAGAAAAATATTTTTCGTTTTTTCTCGATTTATGATTTTTTAATCTTCTGACAAGGAATTCTCGGTCCAGGCTGGGTGTGGGTATGGTTGTGGGTGTGGGGTGTGGGTGTGGGTGTGGGTGTAGGTGTGGATGGGGGTGTGGGTGTGGGTGTGGGTGTGGGTGTGGGTGTGGGTGTGGGTGTGGGTATGGGTGTGGGTGTGGGTG